GGGCAGGAGGAGAAGGGGACGACAGAGGATGAGATGGCTGGATGGCATCACTGACTCAATGGGCATGAGTTTGAGTAAACTCCGGGAGTTGGTGATGGACAGGGAGGCCTGGCGTGCTGCGATTCATGGGGTCGCAAAGAGTCGGACACGACTGAGCGACTGAACTGAACTGATTCTATCCAAAGAAGGGTGAAGTACTCTGTAAAGAAAAAGAGAAACTTCTGGAAGCTTTAATATAAGCAAGTTACACGGCGCAAGTGAGGAGTGTAACTAACATTCACCAAACCTTTTACTGGTGCTTTTTCAGGCATGTGGAAGATCATTGCCTCATCACTTTCAAAATGAAGTGTGACCACTTTGGTTAATGAGATGTGAAATAGATGTAGCAAGTGTCACAGTACTTGGCAGATTTTAGAGCAGTTTTTGATTCACTGAATTCTCTTCCCCTTCAGAGGAGATCAGAGAACAGGTTGAGTGGGAATTTCCAGGAGGTTCCTCAGTGGTTTTGATAAGCAGAATTCCCCTCAACCCCTTTCCCACCTCCCTATACCCTGTGATGAAAATGTGTGTGTGTGTGTGTGTGTGTGTGAGTCGCTCAGTCATGTCCAACTCTTTGCAACCCCATGGACTATAGTCTGCCAGGTTCCTCTGTCCATGGAATTCTCCAGGCAAGAATACTGGAGGGGGTTGCCATTTCCTTCCCCAGAACATGTAGAATATGTATAAACGGAGAAGAAGAGTTTTGTTATTGGAAGCCTCTGAAGTTCGGGGGTTATTTGCAGATGCCCCCAAGGTAACTGGTTCTTTCTGATACAATGTGAGCTTTTATTCAGACAGTAACATATCAGGTGGATTTCAGAGGACAAACATTGCAGAGAACTATCTAGAAGGCTACCATATTTCACAGATGATAAGTCCAGGCCCTGGGAAGGGCCATGACCCTAGAAAAATTGAAAATAACTCTGAGACTGTGAAGAGCCTCTTGATGAAAGTGAAAGAGGAGAGTGAAAAAGTCTCCTTAAAACTCAACATTCAGAAAACTAAGATCATGGCATCCGGTCCCATCACTTCATGGCAAGTAGATGGGGAAACAATGGAAAACAGTGACAGACTTTATTTTCTTGGGCTCCAAAATTACTGCAGATGGTGACTGCAACCATGAAATTAAAAGACACTTGCTCCTTGGAAGAAAAGTTATGACGAACCTAGACAGCATATTAAAAAACAGAGACATTACTTTGCCAACAAAGTAAACCTACATAGTCAACCAACATAGTCAAAGCTATGGTTTTTCCAGTAGTCAGGTATGGATATGAGAGTTGGACTATAAAGAAAGCTGAGCACTTAAGAATTAATGCTTTGAACTGTGGCATTGGAGAAGACTCTTGAGAGTCCCTTGGACTGCAAGGAGATCCAACCAGTCAATCCTAAAGGAAATCAGTCCTGCATATTCATTGGAAGGACTAATGCCGAAGCTGAAACCCCAATACTTTGGCCACCTGATGCGAAGAACTGACTCACTGGAAAAGACCCTGATGCTGGGAAAGATTGAAGGCAGGAGAAGGGGATGACAGAGGATGAGATGGTTGGATGACATCACCAACTCAATGGACACGAATTTGAGTAAGCTCCAGGAGTTGGTGATGGACAGGGAAGCCTGGCATGCTGCAAACCACAGGGTCGCAGAGTTGAACACAACTGAGTGACTGAACTGAACTGAGACTGTGAAAGAACCTATGTCTAATTGTTTTTGAGTGTTAAAAACAGAAGGTTCTTGAAAGAAGAGAGATGACTAAGTGCTGAGGTAAAGCTTAAAAATAATTAATTTAAAATGTAATTAATATTAAATTTAATCTTTCAAAAAGATTGAAGAAGGAGCTACTGGCAGTCTGGCAAAACAAATCACATCAAAAGCCTAGGCACATTCCTATCCAGAGAAGGATATAGAAAGATCATAAACTTTGGAAGAAATCAGACCTGGGTGTGAATCCTGAGTGAATTTGTCAAGTTATCCAGTTTCATTCATTCAGCAAATAGTAAACAATTTCATTCATGCACTAACTAACTTCATTCATTCAATAACATTAAAGAACACCAAAAAGGCCACTGTCCAACTGGAGCTGAACTCCAAAAATAGGGAAGCAAGCACTACATATTTAAGCACTGTGCAGAAAACAGACCTGATATTGTGACCATGAAAAGGGGGCAAAAACAATAATACAGGCCTTGTCAAAGGTCATTACCATTTCACTTTGTTCAAAACTCTCATCTGGCACCAAGTCAAAAGCAGAGATTTCTGTGTCCTTTGTACTTACAAAAAGGACTGCCCTCACTTTCCTTTTGTTTTATACATTTCAAGAGCCAGCTGGGAAACTCTCAACTCTGAAACCATTTTTTAAAAAATCAAAAATTCTGGTTAATTAACACCATCTAGTGAGCATACTCAATGTTCATTGGAAGGGCTGACGCTGACTGCTGAATTAGATTCCCACAATTGTTTAAGGTGGGCACACTGATGATGCTGATTTATAGACTAGTAAGTGTGGAAAAGATGCAAAATCAAAATTCTACTGCAGAGACCACACTTAACGTCTCCTGCGTCCTAACCCTGTTTACATCACAAGTTTCTTTCTTGCTCCTTTGTAGCGTTAGAAGTGACTTGCAGTTGACTGTTGCCACCCCTTCTAAAGTCAAGAAAGCCAAGTCTGAACTTCAGTCAAAATGACATCTTTTTAGGAAAAGGCAATTGAAATCCAAATTAGGAAAGCTTCTGGACTTCAGTATAAAGGAGGAGTATTTAACTCCAGCATTGAGGGTTGTTATTTTTTCCAGGAAGTAATGTCAGTTCATGCAAGACTGTCACAGGCCTCTCAGAATTCTCGGACCCTTATTTTATCAACAGAGCACCTGATATCTCATCTAACAAGGATGGCAGGAGAAAGTTTCAGAAGCACTCTCCTTATCAATGTGGAGCAGCTATAGCAACATCGTGGGAAACTCCAGAGAACTTAAATAAAGATACTTCAACACCTGGGGACTTCCCAGGTGGTGCTAGTGGTAAAGAACCCACCTGCCAATGCAGAAGACCAAAGAGACTTAGGTTTGCTCTATCCCTGATTGGAGAGATCCCCTGGAGGAAGGCATGGCAGCCCACTCGAGTATTCTCGCCTGGAGAATCCCATTCTCAGAGGAGACTGGCAGCCCATGTGGTCACAAAGAATCAGACACAGCTGAAGCAACTTAGCACCCAGGCACCTGAGTATACAGACTCCCATTGCTGGGGAGTCTGGTGTAACTGGCTTGGGGTGTTCTAGGATTTTTAGAGGCTTCATAGAGATACTAATATATAGCCAGAGTTGACATTTGGTGGCATAAAAAGAACAGAGGGGAGTTTATAATTATTCCCTCTACAACCATAAAGGAGAGTGTGTACCTTCATTCATTCACTGTCAGGGTTTCACCTACCTACAGAGGTGCAGAGGTCTAATATACCGTGACCCCATTCTAATTGCAAACAAGTGGTTCTCCACCATCAGCCACCAAACCACACATTTCACACGTGCTATCTGATGACCAGCTACTGCAGATATCAGCAACCCTGATCCAGAGTAAGGGTTCTTAACCTGGAGATGGAATTCAGGTGGTCTGTGAACCGTGGATGGGAATCAATACTACATCTGTCTTTTCACTAAACTTTCCTGGAAGACCAGCGTTTTCTTCCACTATGAACACAACTAACAAACCACAACAGTATCGGCGGTTCTTGAGACTGTACCCACTGGTATCTTCATGTCACGTTTCAGTATGGCAGTCATCAAGACTTTGAGATAACGGTTGTTTAACAGATCTGCTGTTAGATCGAAATATTCGGTGCAATAATCACGATGCATGTATGTTACTAGATCATGACTTTACTACTTTGATAATTTGTTCCAGTAAAACGGATTCTGAGAATGGCAATACTGTAAGAAGGATCTGAATGCTTCACCAGAGCCCATGTGGTCAGTGGCACAAGAAAACGGCTCGAACCCTGCTCTGCGGACGGTGCCCAGCACGTCCGCCTCCAAGGCCACCTCGGAGAAGGAGAAGCGCCCTCTCAGGGCGGAGGCACCCCGACAAAGCTGGCGCGCGGCCTCCCGTGCACTTCCGCAGATAAGATTTAACGTGAAAAGCCAGTTCAACGCGGCGGAGAATCGGCTGGATGAGCTTTCCCTTTCCCCTCAGCTGCCTCCTGCTCTTGGCATTTCGGAGTGCCCAGACCGCCAGGCTGGTAACTTGAGCCTCCAAATTAATCAAAACACAACAGCACCCAGTTCAAGCCCAGGCAGACAAGACTGGAGCCAGACAAGCTCTCCTCCCGTGACCCCCGGGCCCAACTCCCCAGCCCCGCCCGCCCGCCGGTGCGCCCCACCCCGGGATGCCGCGCACGCTTCCTCCGCCGCCCGCGCCCCCAGCCGGTGGCCCGGGCCCTGGGCCCCGGATCGTCCAGACCCGGTCATGGTCTCCTTACCTCGTGGGGACACCCGCCGCCCCGGGGAGCTGCCGCGGCGCCCGCCGGCGCGGCGCGCACCTCCCGCAGCGCCCAATTCCACGCGCCACTCGGCCACCGGTTCACCGCGCTCTCCGCCGCTGCGTCCGGCGGCGGCCGGATGGAGGCGGGTTGAGAAGGGGAAAGTGGCTAGACGGCACCGCCGGGGAACCCGGAGCCAGCGGGGCCACCCGAGTGCCCACCCCGGCGCGCCTCCCGCTTAATCTGAGGCAGGGCCGCTGGCCACTCCCTCCACCCTGCTCGGTCCCCTCCCCTTCGCACACCCCCCAGGTCCCCACCTCCGACTCGCCACCTCTTACCCCGACTCGCACCACTTTGCCGCGCCGCGACTCCTGAACCTCGGGCGCATCACCTCCTGCACCCCTTGCCCTGGCCCCGCGGCCACCTGCCCCGCAGGCGCGCAGCCTTTCCTCGCCTCCCGCGCGCGCTGCCCGGGGCTGAGGGACGTCGCCTGGAGAGCTGGAGAGGAGCGGGCGGGGGGACGAGGGCGGGACCTGAGCTACTTCTTCCCTCCCTGGAAGCCTCGGTGGGGAGGCTGAGCCCTACAAAACCCGCCCCGAGCGGGCTGGCCGGGCGAGCTTCACCGCCGGGCTCCCAACGCGCTCCGCTCAGGGGACGCGGGGGCCCGAGAGCCTGCGGGTCCCTGGACCACGCCGGGGCTCTGAGCGGTCGCCCACCATGCGCCCGAGGACCGCGCCTAGGCCGCCGGCGCTGCTGCCGCCGCTCCTGCTTTTGCTCCTGGTGGCGGCGCCCACGGAGGGCAAGGTGAGTACCCGGGGCGGGGGAGGGGACGGCGCGACCCCAACCCCGCTTCCCCTGGCAGCCTGCCCCGTCCGCGGGGAGCGCTGGCCTTGAACCTCTGCTGGTAGGTGCGGTGACAGTGGGCTCTAGGCAGACTCCTGGTTGGAGCAAGCGAGGATGCCCCGGGACAGGTGGAATGCGCGGGGTTGGAGGAAGAGGCGAGGGGGGAGGCTTGTTTCTCGTTCCCTAGGGATCAGGGGTGGGAGCTAGCCCTCCAGAGGGAGGGAGCGAGGGAGCCAGATAGGTAGATGGATGGATAGATGGATAGAAATGCAGGCAGATGTATATAGAGAGATGTGGGTGGATAGACAATCGCCAGGGATGAGCGCTTGAGAGCACCGGATGTAGAGACACGCGAGGTCACCCTGGTGAATCAGAGCAGGCAACATGGCCTGGCAGAGAGGACAGAGGGCTGGAGTCCCAGCCCTGCCGCTTCCGAGATGTCATCTCACACGACTGTTCCTCCTTGTCAATACTTGCCCTCCGGGGTTCCGTCAGTTTTGTTGAGAAAAGCAAATGCATCACTGAAAAGTTAGTAGCACCTTACACAAGTCATGTTAGGATAAATCAAGCAATCTGTCTCCGTGACTTCTGTTCAAAATGTGAGAGATCCTGGATTCATTTAAATCACCCTGCATATTTCTTGTTATCTGAGAAGATACATTTTTTTTGTCCTCAAAACTGTTAGGACTCCTGGAGTAAACTTACTGGATTTTAACTGGTGGAAGTGCAATTTAACTTTTCAGATGCTTTCTGTGACTTCTATTTTTGTAAGTTTTAAGAACTTAATTTGGGATGACAATGCAGTATAAATTTCATTTCCCAGGATGATCAGATTTTTTTTAACAAATTTCATGGTTAAGATTGTGACTGGAAGTTAATCACATAAGTATGTGTTACATGAAAAGATTCTTCCAACCTACAGTCACAAGTAATCCAAGCATTTTCCTTTTAAATTAAAATTTATGACATTGCAGGTGAAGCTAAATCCCTCTTTTATCACCTCCATACCTTCCCCCACCCCTGTCTAAAGAAGGGTATCCACTCTCACCACTTGGGTTTCTTTTCAGATATTTTTCTGTGCATGCGTATATGTATGTATAGACCCACAAACAATATGTGTTTTGTATGTATTTTTAACATAATTGATACCATATACCTTATACTTTTGCCTTCTACAGGTCTATCTATGCCACTATTTAAGACAGATCTGCCTCTTTTTCTTTTTGCATTGTTGCAGTTTTCCACAATATGAATATGCCAAATTTAACTGAGCCATTTCCCTGTCTATGAACATTTAGGCTCTTTAGTGTTTTATACTCTAAAGGATTTTATAATCCATGTAATCTCTTCATGAAGTTGGTCCTAATAAAAATGTGCTTTACCTAGGCTAAAGATGACCAATCCAGGTAGCTCAGTACTTCTGAACATGATGGCTAGAACTCAATCTAAGTCAGTATAGAATGTCTGCCAGCATTAATCCAGAAACAAATACAAGTGAAAAAAAAAATAGCTGAAGTATCTGTATGTGTGTGTGAGAAGGGCTGGGTTTGCACATTCTTCTAGAGTCCAAAGAAGAGGGGAGATTAGCAACAGGTGGAGAAAGAGGGAAAATATTACCAACGAGTAAAAATCAGCCTGAAAAAAGGATGCTCTGTGATCATACCGCCTCTACTTATACCAGTTCTCAATTATACTGTCTTATTCCTTATTGTTTTTTACATAAGAAATTTTCTGTCTTACTTTTGGCCAAATCTTGGAGGCTACCTGCTGATGTTACAATGAATCCATTCGTATTATTTTTATTATCATTTGGAGTAAGCCTCTGTAAAAAACTTTGCTGAGTTACACAGTGTCATTAGAAAGCATGAAATGTGCCCTCATCATATAGCAAAAAAGAAATCACAGCAAATTAACTGATAACTGGTCTGCAAGATGCCAGCATGGCGCCCTTCTAAGGGTAATTCTGATGTTGGGTGAGGCTGTTGACCTCTCTGAGCCTCACTCTTTTCATCTGTAACATGAGGGAGTTGAAACCCTTCATGAGGTCAGCAGGTGAGGTTTAACTGAGTGAGGCTTTGTGGGGAGTGGGGGCACTCTTCAGGGCCAACTAAGTGTTGGCATTCTAGAATTCAGATTTAGTAATACCAGAATCCACCTTTTTCAGAAAAGAAGCTGGAAATCTAGTTTCCATTAGGAATCTCTTAAATTCTAAATATTAGCAAAGAAATTAAAACTTTACAGAAGTGAGAGCCAGATGTAGTCATTGGGCCATCCTATTTATCATCTTTGTGCTACATAGTTACAGACATATTTTGCTCTAAATTCCTGTGATTTCATTTTAGCATTTCTCAAAACAAAGAAATAGTGCTGTTCACCCTCTATTCCGAGTTCAGGCGGGGTGGAACTGTCCACCCACACAATTTGTTCTGAAGAACCCTGAGTAAAATCCTGCTGCTGCATTGCTGAAGGCATCCAGTTCCAGGCCTGACTGTTCAGTACATGCCCAGTTTTTATAGCTGTTCCCAGGCCCAACTGGAAATTGGGAGGCACTCTGCCACTGCCACCAGCGGCAGATCTGGGAGAAGTGCAGAGAAAGCGCCTTCTCTGATTATCTGGGCAAGGTGAGATTCATGGTTTGAGATATAGTTTAGCCTTCCTCTCTTTTCCTTAAAATTCCAGACAGGGCAGGAATATGGCCAGCAAGTATCAGGAACCGAATAACAGCTGTGTTTAGGGAGGGTGCTTCTCAACTGATTTGGTTTTTAAATCTAAAAACAAAAAATTAAGTTGAATTAAGAAACATTTCAAACAGACAAAAAGTCATGTAACAGACTCCAGTTTATCCGTCTCTGAGATTAAGCAAATATTAAGTTTGGACCTGTTTGTTCTCACATCTCTCCTTTCAGGAAAAGAGTAAGTAAATACAAAAAGTCCTACGTTCATTTTTTGCCTCCTCTTCCACGCATGGTTTTATATTTATGCACCATGGATGCGTGTGTGTGTCAGTCACCATAAAAAATAAATGCTATTGTTGTATGGTCCTTCAAGTATAATAAATGATTTCACATGATATATACTTATTGGAGCTTGCTTGTGTCAGTCAGCAGGATATTTCTGGATTTTATCCATGTTGATACATAGAGATGTGATTTGTTTACATACATATAAATGTAATAGCTGCTGCATATGTAATAGCTGCCGCATAGTATTCAGTTACATAAATAAAGTACAATTTATTTTTCCATCTGCCAAACAGTAAGTTTGTTTCTTTGCTCTCCTCTTACAGAATTGAAATGTACAGCTTTGTATATGTACCACTGTGACAACCAGATGTTGAATTGCTAGGGGGAATTCAAAGAGGGTTATCAAAGAAAACATATTTTAAATTGTGTTAGGGATTGTCAAATCAACTCCAACAATGTGCCAGAGTACCTGTTTTCCTATATCCTCAGCAAAACTTGGTGTACTGAGATGTTAATGGATGTGAAATCAGATCTTGTTTTGACTAGTGAGTTTAGCATCTTTTGATTGACAGTCTATAATTCTCTCTGAGTGAATTGCATAAATAGGTCTTTTCCTATTTATCTTTTGTGACCTTTGCCTTTTTGTTGCTAATTAATTAGAAGTTGTTTATATTTGGATACTGAATTAATTCTGCTATTTAAATATGCACAAAATATTTCATTCCAGGTTTTGGCTTACCTTTTCATTTAGTTATTGGTGCCTTAACGTATAATTTTTCTTTTCTCTATAATCTCAGACTTATGCATGTTTTCCTTGACTTCATTGATTTTGTGTTGCACTTCTTGAGATCTTTTCTTTCCCCGGGATTATAAAAATATTCTCCTATGGTAAAAAAAATTATAGTTTAATTCTTTTGCATTTAAGACTCAATCTTTGAATTGTTTTCTACTTCTGGGATTATAATCTTATCTTTCTCCATAGAGAAAAAGAATTGTCCCAACATTATTTATTAAAAAGTTCGTCCTTTTCCTCACTGTTTTGCTATGTTACATCTGCAAACATGTGTACCAAACACTCATTAATATTTGATCTGTTTGAATTCTTACATGGGTCTGTTTATTCAGGGCTTTAATTTCTCACAATGTTTTAGAGTTTTCTGGGTTTTTTTAATTTCTAAGTATTTTACATTCTTAGTGTTATTATAAATAATACATTCTTTTAAAAAATTTATAGTCTAATAAATTTCTTAAAAAGTAGTTGAATTTTATATTTTGACTTTGATCAAGCAACTTTGAATAGTCCAAATGCATTTAAGGCTAAAAAGGTTCCCCTAAACACTGTTTCAGCTGCATCATACAAGTTTTGATAAAAACTACTTTAATATCATTAAGTTCAAAATCTTTTCCAATTTTTTCTTTGTTTTATGGGTTATTTAAATGTTTATTTCTTAATTTTGAAGCACAGGAAATTTTTTAGTTATTTTTTTATTGAATTGTGGTAGAGATGATATTCTGACTTCAATTTTTTCTATATTTGTCACTAGATCAAGATTTTTTATCGTGTTATTGAAATTGTGACATGTGTGCATACACGGGATTTTTTTTGTATATCCTATATTTAACCTGAGATTATCTATTTTGCATCATCTTGAACATTCTCCGATTTTTTTTTAATGTTTTTAATTTATTTTTTTAACTTTTTATTTTGGGGTACAGTCGATTAATATTGTGATAGTTTCAGGTGAATAGCAAAGGAACTCAGCCATACATACACATGTATCCGTTCTCCCCCCAAACTCCCGTCTCGTCTAGGCTGCCATATAACGTTGAGCAAAGTCCCCTGTGTGCTGTGCAGTAGGTCCTTGCTGGGGATCCATTTAAACGCAGCAATGTGTGCATGTTCATTCCAAACACCCAAACTATCCCTTCCCCTTGACAACTGTAAATTCATTCTCCAAGTCTGTGAATCTCTTCTGTTCTGTAAGTTCATTTGTATCA